GACCGGCAGGGAGGGCTCGTGGGGCTGGGGCTGCCCAGGGAGCAGGTTGTGGTTGTGCCCTTTTGCTTTTATTTATTTATTTATAAGACAAAAGTCATAAAATTGTACCCTGGAGCAAACAGAGCGATTCGAAAGAAGAGCTGTAACCCAGACTGGGATCATTTCAACTCTTTGCAGGTTTTCTTCAAACTTTAAAGACTATCCTTAAAGAAAAAAAAATAGTATTTTGAAGAGGAATAATAATAGAAATGGCAGCAGAGAACCTCAAAAGGTTGTGCTAAGGGTCAAACACTTTCCTGAGGCAGCTTTAGGAGATTAAGGCTAATTTCCCGGGGACAATCGGAGCCGTTTTGCCGGCCGTTCCGGGGTTTTTGGGTGCCGGGGCTGCGTTTGCAGGCGCTGCTGCCCCCGCTCCGCTCGGCCGCTTCCGCACAGGGACATTTAGCAGCTGCCTGCGAGGACTGGACGTTACCACTGCCATTTACGAGAGGAAATGGCTCGAAACACCATTTGCCCTGGGGTCTGCCAGCTCATCCCATTTTCTGATCATTTTTGGCAATACGTGCACTTCGAGAGAACAAGAAAACCGCCCGGTGCGTTGTTAGTCAGTGGGCAGCAAACAGCACCGCGGGGTACCCAGGTACACGGTGCTGTATAAAAGTTCATGGACAAAAACTCACTGATCCGCAGCCCTCCGGGGGAACCCCGAGCGCCGCCCCGAACACGGGCACCTTGGAACACGACGTCCGCTCTCCCGCTTCCTTTCGGAGGGGGAATCGGCTCCGTGCGGGATCCAGGGCGCTGCAAGGCCCCGCTCCGCACAGGGACCTTGCAGGTAACTCAGCGTCTCCACAAAGAGCCCTGCGACATCCCGCGATCCCTGCGGTTTGTGTGTCCTGGGAAACGTGAAGCTCCCTCCGCAGGGCAGGACACGCCGGGTGGAGCCTGTGAAAAAAAAAATGCTGCAACAGGAAAAGGATACCCAGACACACACACACACACATCACAGCTCGCTTCTCCAAAAAGGACGGCTTTAAAAAGGAGGGGAAAGTGGTAAAAAACCTTTACGGAGACTCCCGGGGCAGAGGGACGTTGCAGCTCGAGCTCCTCGTGGAGAAGGCACCGCTGGAAGGCACCGACCTGCCCGGGAGCGCCAGCACCAGCCCCGGCCTCGACGGCGCCGCCGGCTCCGTAACGGAATAACCGCGTCGCAGGCGGAAGGCTGGAGTTAAGTTTTATTTATCCGTTCTATTGTTAAATTACACAATCAAAGTCAGTGGATCGGCTTGTAAATCTACACAGTAAGACAGCGTCTACAGTGGAAATCAGTCGAATTGATATGATGATGACAAAACGGTATCCTTATATTCATACAGCCCCTATATACAACAAACAGGACGCACAGGGAATGCAGCGCTCTGTGAGCCATGCGCACCGCAGCGGAACCCACCGCAGCTCCAGCCCAGGCCCGTTTGCAGCAGAGCCCTCCGCTTTTAAGAGCAAATTATTTTCCCCCATTAAAAGAAAAGAAATAACGGAAACATCATATTGGCAGCTGCAGTTCTTTTTTTTTTAAAAAAAACCTCGCTGTACATTAAGTTATTCTCTTTCCCACGTGGCTGGTGCAGGGTCCCGGGTGGCTGCTCTTCTGCTCTGCCCAGGGAGAAGGTGGCACTGGAGCGTCCCGTGCGCCGCAGCGCGCGCGTGACGCGGGGCTGGTAAAACGCACGTTTTGAAGCCTTCGCCCTCGTTTTCTGCCCCCTGCCTCCTCGGGGCGGGTTCTGTTACAGGCAAAAAGGCAATAGTGCAAGTGAGGCCGGCGGGCGCCGCAGCAAAACTCCCCGCCGGGCTCGTCGGGCGCCGAGTCGGGCCGAGGGTTTTTGCATAGAGATTGAAGCACCCCCCGACACCCCGTCCGGCTCCGGAGCCGCGTCCCGTGTCCCCACGCAGCCTCCTGCTCTTTATGGCTCTGTTAAGGGATTCCACGTTCTGAAGCCACCGCTCGGCCGTGGGCGCCAAGAAGGGCTCAAGAGCGGAGCAAAATGAAGCCCCATTTCTGTGTTGTCTAGTGAAGATTGACTGGACGTAAACCGTAATGCAAGCGTAAATCTGCTTCCTCAATCGAGGAACTCTCCTCGTGCTATTGCTGGGATTAGAGCGTTTTATGACTTTTTAAAGACACTGCACAAATACCCGCAACAAATTTCATCTATTTCTGTCACCAATTATTAAGGATTGATAAATTCAGCATTCTGCATTCGAATGGGTAAGAAAGATGTAAAATTAGATACTGTCGCAGGAGTATAATTTGGAAAAGGCTTTATGAAACATGAAGATGTGCTGTAACTTTTCCAGAATGGTTAAAATTATACTGCCCTGAAAAACTCTGGAAACAGCTTCTTTAACATTGGCATTCCGTTCAGAAAAGTATGCATTTTTTTTTAATATGAGATAGACTAAGCTTAAAACTCTAAACAGCAGTAGGTAGAAAAAGTTTAAAATTTTAAATATTTATATAACTAGACAAATTACTTCTATTCCTTTTAAAAGCCAATATTATACATAAAACTAGTTGGTATTTTTTCAACATTGTCCATTCATTAACTTGGTAAATATCATAAGCAGTTGGTGCCCTCGGAAAACACATTATTAAAATAAAATTAAGACAAAATCAAAGGGAAAAGGTTTTGCGCATATACTGTATTGTGAGAGTATGTTAAATGCTCATTAGTAGGAAATGAGTTTGCTTCCCAGATAGATTTCAGCAGAGCATCCTAAACATTTTCCAGCATCCCATTTTGTACTCGTAACTAATTTAAGGATTTCTTTTTTTTCAATAAACGTCCAAACAACCATTTCCGACGAGCCTGCTTGGCTCCCGTATCTCATAAATAACCCAACCGACCTAAAAAGGACAATTTAATTACACGCGAAGATTGAGTGTTCCACGTACAGTGTGACATTTACTGCAAAGGCAACTGCAAAGGCAACGGTTCAACCCCTCGGCGCGCCGGTTGGACGGCTCCGCGCTCCCCTATCGCCACCGCTCCACGTTGCCCGCGTAGTCGGCGGCGGAGCCGTTGCGGCCGCGCTCCCTGCGCTGGGCCCGCAGGATCTTGCGCTGCTCCTGGCGTTTCCGCCGCGCTTCCTGGTGCTCCTTCTGCCGCGTGTACTGGTACCGCTGCAAGAAAAGGTCTTTCGCGTAATCGTACAATTCCACGTCTAAAAAATTGAGCGCCTCGATGCGCTGCTGAGTCTGCTCGTCGATCTCCACGCTGGAGGCCCTCGTGCTGTTGTACTGGGTGAACGGCGAGATGAAGTTCATGTTAAAAGTCTTCTCAAAGAGGTACTGAGTCTTCCTCTGGAACTCGGTGAGGCCGAAGAAGGCCATGCGCTTCAGGTTCTCCTTGGCGCTGTCCAGCAGGACCTTGTTCCTCTGCTCCTCGGGCATGACGGAGAGGTTGTAGCAGCCCACGAGGCTGAGGTCGGAGAGCATGCGGACCTGGCGGTTGTTGGCCAGGTTGTAGGGACACTCCATGAACTCCTGCAGGGAGCAGCCCAACCAGTCGTCGCCCGCGTAGCAGCTGGGCAGCTCCTCGGTGGTGGGCGAGCGGCCGTCGCAGACGTGCAGCGACGCCTTCCACGTGGCGCCGCGCTGCACGTGCCGCCATTCGCTCAGGTAGCGCGACACCGGGTCGCGCAGGATGGTGATGTAGTAGAAATTCCTGCGGGGCGACAGAAAAGCAGAGGGGTTAGCTGAGCATTAGTGTGCAAAACCAGCAGCGGCTCGGAGAGGCTCTCCGGGGCTTTGGGAACCTCCTGGGATGTGCTCCATGGAACGTGCTCCACGGGATGTGCTCCACGGGATGTGCTCCATGGGACGTGCTCCATGGGACGCACTCCATGGAACGTGCTCC